TCTTCTATCATAATTGGTGTACGGTGTGCCAATTAATTATGTGATCACTAAATCTAGAGAGATTTGGTTGTAATGCTAAAATCTAATGTGACTCGATCTTTCTTATTAAATCGCTTTCTAAAGGTACTTTGAACCTGAAATTATGGGTTTATTATATATGTAGTATATAATAATATTTATTCTTCCCCCAAAACTTGGTGATGTTATGTGTGTGTATAAATTAACAAATGTGATTTGGACTTAGAAAATTAGTAACCTAAAGTCTAATATTGGACAAAACAGAAGTTAAAAGAACTGACATGACCAAATTAGGCAATTAGTTGAAACACGCATGGGTAAGTAACAAAACTTGCATATGATTTTTATGGACTTAGAAAAGGTGTATGATAGGATTTCAAGAAATATAATTTGGTGGGCCCTATAAAGGAAACAAATTATAAAATATATTTAAGATACGTATATGAATACTACAACTAGAGTCTGTTTGATGTGTGGTGACACTGAGTGAGTTTGCTATAGAATTGCACAAAGAGTCGGTGCTAAGTTCATTTCTATTTGCAATAATATTAGATGAAATAATAAAAGAATCCCAAAAACACGATTCTATGGTACTTGATGTTTACCGATGATATCGTGTTCTTGGATACGTTTAAAGAGAATTTAGGAATAAGATTAGAGACATGGAGAAATGCTTTAAAAAACGAAATGATTGAGGGTTAGTTGATCTAAAACCTAGTCTATGGAGTATAAATTTAACACGGATATTGACAATAAAATGATAGCACTTCAAAATTAAGAAGTTACTCAAAAAAAATAAATTTAGGTATCTCAAATTGATAATGCAAAAGAATGGAGAGATAAATAGCGATATAACTAATAGAATTGGTGCGGGTTAAACAAAATGGAAGCAGGATAGTGGGATACTATGTGATAAAAGAATAACACATAAAAGGAAAATTTTATAAGACCAACATTAGACCAACTATGTTGTAACTTGTACGAGGACAAGTGTTAAGCACTTGAATATCGCAATCATATAGCAGAAATGATAATGTACTTGAATAGCGCAATCATATAGCAGAAATGATAATGTTAAAAGGTGTCCATATAGAATGACTAGAAGAGACGAGGTAACTAATGAGGCTCTCAGAAAAATTAGGTGTCATTGGTGAGAAACTTAGATAATGGACTTATTACATGGTTTGTACACATTATACCGGAGATCTACTGGTTCGTAATGAAACGAGAAAAACTAGTTGTAATAGAAGTAAAGAGACATAGAGAGCGTCCAAAAATAACATGGGATGATATTAAATGATTTTAAAAAGTTAAACACAGTTAAAAAATAATAATAATAAATAAATAAAAAATAACATTCATATTAGATTAGGATAAAAACAATGATAACTGTGTGAGGGGGGAAGACTCAAAGGGGCTCAACTATAGAGAAACTTTGCACAAATAAGATGACATCAAAAGTATATATATAAATAAATAAATAAAAATTTTGAAGGATGATAATAAATTAACTGTTACACAAGTAACCAGTGGTCGATCAACATAAAACTAAAATTCCCTTCATTTATTATTAGGTTTTACAAATGTTTTTCAATCATTTACATGTTTGGGAGGAAATAAATTGAGGAAAATGTAAAGCAGAGACAAATGAGGAGCGGGACTCATTTTCCTTGTTTGGGAGTTCAGTGGAGAGAATTGGGAGGAAGAGGACTCCATCCAGGCCCACTTATTTTCTCCAGAAAGAAAGAAAGAAATGGAAGGAGCTGAAAATTCATAATGGAACAATCTCACAATGAAAAACTTTCCCCTCATTATGTATGAGAAAAGAGCTGCTTTTTCTGTACTGTTGTTGCACCTATACGATGTATATTGTTGTGAAGTTCTATAATAGAATTCCTGCACCTCTAAGGCCATTTGCCCATCAAAGGTATGCAATGCAGAATCACTGATATGAACTCAAGGTTACTCCTACAAATATATATGCAATCAGAGCTCTCTCTCTCTCTCTCTCTCTCTCTCTCTCTCTCTCCCTCTCTCTCTCTCTCTCTATATATATATATATATATATAGAGAGAGAGAGAGAGAGAGCTCTGATTGCAAAAGACTTGGGCTGGAAAATCATCATGTAGAGTAATCTTTTTCACTTTTTATGGGAATATGATATTTCAAGGGAAAGAGTATAATGGTAAAGTAATGTTACACATATTCCTCTACTTTTTCCTCATAAACTCTGAAAAAGAGCGCCATCCTTTTCCTCCTAAAGTCCCAAACAAGAGGAAGGGAAGCCCCTATAATTTCCTTTCTTTTCTTTTTTGTCTGCTAATCTTTTCCATTCCTTCACGTTCTCTCCTAAATCCCAAACCTGTTACTGTTAGACTCGTGAACAAGGCTGGCAAATAGCAATGGACCTATTGATGAAGCAAGTGGTTAACATTGAGGAGGATACATCCTCTAATCACCTATGAGGTTATCATCTTACAGACAAAATGAATTAACCCATTAAGAGAGCATGCCAAAAAATATAAATATATTTGCAGCATGAAACACCATAAAAAATCTTCAATGTTGTTGCCCCCATGGAAAATCTACATAAATGGTCGCGCAAAGACCCAAAAACATAGGATTGAACCCTAGTGGCCAATGCTAGGATGCATGTTTGGAAGACACAGAAAATCCCATAGCACACTGAAACAACCAGCGTTATGTTCTGCAAATCAGATATTCAAAATCAAATTTATGGAACGATGACTCAAAAGATTGAGTCAATGACGCTACAGATACCTTCAAACAGCTTATCACAACCGACAGCAATTGAATATTGATTAAACCATACTGTCATTGACTCGGCACCTTCATTACTCTATCTCAAACTCTCCTCTTCGTCTTCTTTTTGCAGGGTGAAACCTAAATTCCTCCAGGTTTATGATTTAGGGGAATTTATGGATTTCAAACAGCTTACCACAACTAACAACAATTAAATATTGATCAAACCACACTGTCATTGACTAGGCACCGTCATTACTCTATCTCAATCTCTCTTCTTCGTCTTCTTTTTGCAGGGTCATGAAACCTAAACTGCTCCGGTTTTATGATTTAGGGGATTTTATGGATTTAGGGATTACATTTATACATTACCAAGTGCTTTTAGCACTTTTATGTTATCTGTTTCATCTATCAAAGGTTTAAAAGTTGCATTCTGTATATCCTACCCTAAGAAGCTCGGATAAGGACATGGAACAAAAACACGATACGACACTAATACGCTAACACGTCATATTCTAAAAATGTAGGAGCCGGACACTGCATGGGCACGGCTAATATAAATATAAATTTTCATTTATATATCTATTGAGTGAGACAATTATAGAACTTTAATTAATTTATAAATTCCATATTAAAGTTACATTAGTTAGAAGATAACAGATAACGCTATTCGAATATCAAAAAGAATATATTATATTATATATAATATTACTATCCTAACTTGTCATCATAGTTACGTTTTGTTCTTCGGAGATTGAACACTTTGCTGTATGTTCATACAGTTGTTTTCAGGATTGTTATTTGTTTTTATTTTATGTAAGACAAAGAGTGTTGGATGTGTCGGTCGAGTGTCCAAAATTTGTCGACCAAGTGTTCAAGATGTGTCAACCTAGTGTTCGAGATGTGTAAGCCAAGTGTCTAAAATAATAAAATTTATTTCTAAATAATGGACAAGGCCATGAAGTGTAAGACACGTGTCTAGGAGAGTCCATGGAGTGTCGGTGTCCGACACGGACACGACACCTTATAGAAGTGTTTGTGCTTCTTAGATACAACCATTATCTTGATTGTCCTAAAAAGTCTGCTTTAGTTTCATCAACTAAATAATCTACATCATCATCGCACAATGCATACTATATACCTCAAACTAAATGCTAATTTGAAGGTAACCTTCATGGCCAGTGCAAAAATAGCTATGTTTAATGCCAACCTTATGTAAACCTATTGAGATTAAAAAAGTTCACTTGCACCTACTTCAATTAAAATAGTTAAAAATGTCGTGACTTCTGTTGAAATGTTCAGGAGAATGTAGTTTTTAAACTAACTAAAAATTTGAACATATTAGCAATGGACACTTCTAAATATGCTACCTAAAACTAACTTAATATTTACTTATCAATATATATATATATATATATATATATATATATATATATATATATTACTGAATTAAGTATGGAAACTTCTGAGGAGGAGTAAAAGACGTGTCGGAAGCACTTCTTAGACACATATAGATGCCCATAATTTAAAGTAGAACAGTTAATTAATGATGTGGTTGACACTTCTTGAAATCTTGATAAGATGGAATGGATTTCATTTAACATTGGAACACAAAAAAGGAGGAGGAGAACAACAAGAAGAAGAAAAAAATGGCCATATTTAAAATCATAAAGGAATGAGCATGGCAGAAGAGTTGTCATTTATCATGGGTGTACAGATACATATACATATCTATACATTCAAACACACACATACACGTATTTGACGTTTTATTGCTATGTCTTTAACTATGTGATCTGATGTTTATAAAGTATTATGACTCTTAAAAAGATGGTCATTACCCAGTGTGACACTGGGAGGGGTGGACTAGATACCGACCTAAACTTTGGCATTATTTATGTAAACCCAACAACTTACTGTTTGTCTTTTGAGAAGATTTGAATCCTCAATAGTCCAATGATGCATTTTAATTTTAAAAACTAAAAACATAATTGATGACAAACTCATGAATCAAAATTTTGGAGTATTTTCTAATGGATCTTTCAAAGACTCCTGAAGCTTCCGAAAATGATACTACAATCGCAGTAAGTTACATGAACAGTTGTAAGCAATTGACGTCATCTATACACAGTTATTTGGAGAAAACTCATTTACACCATGAAGTAAGGAGTTGATGGCTCCAACATCCAGAGCACTAGGTTTTTGGCACAACTACAAGGTTTCAGTAACAGGAGTCATAGTGGACCTTAAAATTTCACAACAAAAATCAGTTTAAAGCATTTACACTCTTAGAGCAGTCCATCTGGATTACATTTATGTTCTTGAGTATTCACTTGCAGTTTACATGTCATGATTGCACAAAAGCAAAACGATATGCATTTTAATGGAGAATTTTCTTTAATCGATGCAAAAGTTCAAATATAAAACCAATCTAGTATCAGAGCATTGAGGGGGAAAGAGCTAAGATCCCCCTATTTTTCCAAATATGACTCAACCTTATTTAACCAACTAATAAACTCTATCCTATCCTTGTTCATCATAAAATCATGCAAGAAAACACAAAGGTCATCATTTACCCCCCTTTCCTTCAAGTACTCAACCAGTGCAATCCGAAGCTTATAATCCATATCCCTGAAAGCAATCAAATACGTAAACCAAAGAGAGTCACCACTAAACCCAAAATTGCAAGTGAAACAATACAAAACATAAGCATTCTGTTAGATCACGAGGAAACCATAAGAAAAGAAAGAAAGCATGAAATCTCACCACACTCTCCAACCCAAACTCTATTACTGGACCTGAAATTTTTAATCATCTTCCCAATGTCGATATTTTTTTGATTCAGAAACTAGTCTTCTAGTTGAACTAAGAGTGGAATGGGGTTTTCGAATAAAAAATGAAGTAAAGTTGGGAACTAAGGGGACCATCCTAAGGAAAGAAACCCATATAATTAGGCTGTTTTAATATAATTTTGTTAGAGAAGCTGAACATTCTGATATATATTAATAAAATTTAATAAATGTCAGCTGACTAATTAAAAAGGTTGAGCAATTCAGGTAACCCAAATGCCACACACAGGTTTGTAATTCAAACAAAGACAGATTTAAGAGAGAGAGAGAGAGAGAGAGAGAGTACATGTGAATTCAAATCACAAATTTAAATAGGTGCTCATCTTGATAATGCATAGACTATCAAGAAAGAAGGAAAAAAATTTCATACCTAAAATTAGGTCCCATGTAAGGCTTAGGTAGTGACCCATCACTTCGGAATACATAAACTTTCTGAATTTCCAAGCAATCCGCCCATGCTGAGCAACAAAACTCCAGCTTATCACACCCTTCCCCCTTGGATATATCAACTAACAAGCTAATGTGAAGACACACATCCTCTTCAGCATCATCGTCACCTGATTTTGGAACTAACTTCGATCCGTCAAACATTGTAGCCTCAATTTTTATATTTTCACCCTCTCCAAATTTGCTCGTTAATGTAATCCACTGCTCACCGGGTCGATCTTTCACCATAAACGCATTGAACTTCACATCAGGCTAAAGAATTTCACCAAAGAAATAAAATAAAAAATAAAAATAAAAAAAGAACTGAAGATTAGAACCGAAATCCAGCAACTTGTGGAAGGAGATTTCAAGAAATTGTGAGCAATAGGTTATGCTCTGTTTGGCTGGTGAGAAATTGATGAACAAATAACAATAACCCATTCGTTTTCTATTTTGGTGTTGAGAAAATGTTAAAAAAGAGAAGAAAAAAAAAAATCAAAATGTAAACAAGTGAAGCTCTGGTCGGCTGCTAGGAAAACATGGCAAAGAGAAGAAACTCTATTAGGCAAACTAAAACTTCCCACTTGACTGAGCCTAATATATTCTACTAAGCTTTATGTTTCATTTTCCAGGAAACAAAACAAGAAAAAAAAAGGTATTCAAATCTTTTTATTTCAAGTCTTCAGTTTTTTGTTTTCTCAGCATCCAAACGGAGTGTCAGATTTTTCATTTTGCAGGGATTACCAAAATATATATATATATATATATATATATATATATTATTAATAATTCCACACAGCTAAACTTTATACACCCATATATTTGATTTCCGATTGGATTAGCTTAGTTCATTAATATGTGTTGTATGTCATAAATATATGAGTTCTAACAGAACAAATTAAAGCATAAGACTGCAAAAGATATAAGTTTTCCTTTTCTTTTCCAACATTTTCCCACAGCAGACAAACAAAATTCTACCATATCTTTAATAAGAAAAAAACTGAAGGCTATAACATATTTTTCATGTATATATATGTGTATATAATGTGTATATTTATGATTAAATCTGATAAAAATAAAAATAAAAATAAAAGAAGGAAAATACCTGGTGCGGAGGGGCGTAATCGGACTGGTACTGAATCTCGTTGCGGAGAATTCTGAGAATTTTTGACTCAAAGGGTGACTTTTGGAGAGTCTGGGACGTGTGAGTCCGAGTTTGGGCGAGAAGACAGGAAATGGTTTTGTTTGTTTGGCGAGAAAATTGCTGCTGGAATTGAGGAATTAGGGTTTTGCAAGAAGAGAAAAGTGACCCACTGTGAGGTTGGAGAAAGCGAGAAATCGCCATCTTCTCCGTCCTTCCAAAGAAGTAGGGTTCAACGAGGGTTTTGAACGTCCCTCGTTATTCGCCCCAGCTTATGAGATTAACGCTCTTTTTTTTTTAGAAAACATTCGACAATACGTAGGTTCTTACGAGTGACATGTATACGACATAGAGATGTTGATTAATAATAAATTGATGGATTTTTTTTTAATTATTAAATTAGAGATGGTAATTAATTCACTCTCATTAATTTGGTAGTGTATATATATCTTCATTATCTTTGATTTAAGTAATTAAAGACGACTTGTTTAAATATTATTGATCCAGAAAATAGTATACATCCTCACGTGACTTAAGTATTGTCCTTTCAGGAAACTAAAGATAAGCTAAAATTTTTAATATGTTGTTGCTTATTTTTGGGTTAGAGAGTTAGGATATATTTGGTTTATAACTTCAAAAATAATTTTATGTAATTCGAAAATTAAAATTAGAAAATTTTACTAAAAACTTTATTTAGTTCAGTTTTCTAAAATTTTTATAAAATGTTTTTAGAGAATAATAAAATATTGTTCTCTGAAAACATTTTTATATTTTTTAAATTTTTTAAAATTATTTTTAAAATTACAAACTAAACGGGCCTTTACATTTTGTTATCTTTCTGTTATGTTTCATTCTCTGTTTTTTTTTTTTTTTCTTTTTTTCATTTGATGAAAACATGATTCTTAGTTAATAGACAATTGTAGAAGCATTATATAGGTAATATTCTTCAATTCTTTGATGTGGACAGTGGTCCCTTAAAAAAAAATTAATTTAAAAAATAAACCATTTTTAATATATTCTTAAATTTAATTTAATTGAATTATATTATTATTATTATTATTATTATTATTATTATTTCAATTACATCTCTTTTCTTGAATTAGAATCATACCGGTGCAAAAATTACATTGATGTAAAATGACGTTGCATTCTTTATTTAGTTGTTTTGTAGATGATATTCATAGACTTAGAAGAGAAAACCAGTTCCTCTTTTCTCACACATTTTTTTATTACATTAGATTTAAGAAGCACATACTCCCTTATAGAAATGTCGTGACAATGTGAAATATGTTTGAGGCACAACTTAATATGTATTTACATGATTAGAAGTGTTCTGAAATATAAATATATATACTTTTAAGATGAGCATATTTCAATTCAATTTCAAAAGTCATGCGTTAATAATAAAAAGTAATATAAAACGTTACAAAATAAAAATAACACGCATCCAATTTTAAGCCTTCACAAATGTCTATGTTTTATTCAGTAAGAAAGAAGGAAGATGTGTAGAAAGAAATAGAAATCCATAGAAAGAAAAGAAATGATAACAGAAGGGATGTGTTATTCTTCATTCTTTACAAATTTTTATTCGTCCAAAAACGGGCGGAAAAGACTAGAGAAGAAAAGTGAATTATTATAGAAGTTTTAAATTAAATATTATCCTAAATTACACAAATTTTAAATTACAATACTAACAATATTATAAATATTACTAGACATAATGTTAAAAATAATTTAAAACTATATATTTTCCTTCTTTCATAATGAACATAATAAATTGTAACTGTATTATCTTATCCTCCATCCAACCGATCGAAAATAAATAAATAAATAAATAAATCTCTTTATGAGGGATATCTCATCTATTTGGACCCAATTTTTTTTTTTTGTTTCCTACCCAATTGAGCATAAATTGCACATGGTACCCTCAACGTTGGTGTTGCCTTTGGGCTCGTGAGGGAAAAGAATTGTCACTGGGCCTGGGCAACTAAGGCTACTTATTCTTAGCCCAGAAATGTATGGGTATTATATTCCCTCTTCTCTTGTGTTGGCCCAAATGTCAATTTTGCAATGCCCAAAAGGCCCAAATTCACTATTCTGAGTCAAAAACTTTCATCTTTCCCATTTCTATTTTCTGGTCTTTATGCTTTTTCGGGTGGGAAAGGCTAAAAAAATTGGATAAAAGAATGGAGACATGAATGAGACATTTTTAGAAAAAAGAATGTGTCACTCTTATTTTTATTTGGTTAAATGGAATCGATAGTAGAAATGATGCACAGGGTGATAACTTTTTTAAAAAAAAAAAAATTTGGTTGAAAGGATAGGAAAAATAGTTTTTTTTTTTTTTTTTTTTTTTTTTTTTTTAATATACCCTCACTTTATAAAATTATAAAAAAATATTTTAAAAATTGATATTTTGTTCATAAAATTGAACTTGTGGTTCGAATTTTGTTTTGATTCGAGTAGTTTATTTTTATAACCCAACCTTCCTTCGGAAAGGAAGAGGTGATACCGCTGGGCCAATTGATCCTTTGACATTTTTGTAACTTAGTAGCTCTTAAGAATTGTAAGTTGATTTGTATTTCCATATTAAGTGGTACTTAAAATTATCTTCCATCAGAAATCCACTGCAAAATCCTCTTATTCTCTGCTAAGAGACTCGAATCCAACTGGCTCGTCTGAAATCCTTGTGATCTCTCTTATATAGGCCATTCAAATGCAGTTTATGTTCAATTTAATTAGGGATTATCTGACCAATTTATCATACATTTTAATTCGACATTGTTGTTTTAATTAATTCATTGAAAAAGAAGGTAAATTTACATATTAGAATAAAGCCGATCTCAAAGATTGCAGGAGCAGTAGTTTTTGAAAAATAAACTGTGTAATATTCCAATCACTAGTAAGAGTTTCAAAAAAGAAAGGCAATTATTCTATACAAATACTTTTTCCTCTTGCTTTTTGACAATGATTATGTAATAATAAGATTCATGAAGCCGACCCAAATACCCGAAAGATCGAATTGTATCCTAAGAACAGGGGATACAAAAAAGTGAGAAGAGAGGTGCACAGACCAATCAACCGTATCGGTCGTATTCTTGAATTTGGAATGAAAAGAGGAGTCATGCGTCCTAGCACAGGACACATAATTGAGTAATAGGCTCTGTTGAGTTGAGTCCTACCATTAAATCTCTACTAACAAAAGCAACGGAAAGTGATTAAAATGGACCCAATATAAGCAGTTTTAAAATGAATACAATTGCCACCTTTTCCTTTAGTCCTTGTTGTTTGATAGAGTATGGTGCTTATATTGATTTTTTTTGGGATCCATGTTTGGTGGATTTTTGTGTGTTATGGTGGGAATTATTCTCATATAACCCCTACCAATGGTTGTATCTGGAATTTTTACGGCTTCCACTATATTTAAGTCGTGGTTGCATAATTGCAATATCACATAGAATCGTATATATTTCTTATCAGATTCAATCTATATATATATATATATATATATATATATATATATTGGAGCTTTCTTTTACAAGGAGTTCCGAACAAATTGAAGAATCGATAAATAAATCTAGTAAAAGAATCAAATTGGGCTTCATACACTGCACATTTTACAGCATTGTGGTCATGAGGATTAATGGATCATTTCTCTTATATTGTTTAGCAGCATGAAATCCACATTTTGAAATTGGAATTAGAGTTTAACTTAGGCTCCATTTGTTTCGCTGTAAAATATTCTTTTTGAAAAATATTTTTTTTTTTCAGATAAAATATTCTTTTATTTTTACTTTGTCGATATTTGACAAAGGTCTACATAGAGATTGAAGTCGAGTCCATCGGGCGAGCATGTAAAATAACTTCCCGAAAATAAATTATTTTTGTTAAATTTTAATATTTTTTTTCTTCGTAAATATTTTACGACAACCTAACATCAAAAAATGAAAAAATAATAAATAAAATATTTTCTGAAAAATATTTTACTTTCAAACAAACGGAGCCTACTTCATCTGCATTTCCAATTCTAGAAAGTGGATTTCTTATTTCCATAACACAACTTAGAATTTATTTTTAAGGGTGCATTTGGGTTAAAGGAGTTGGAAGGAAAAGGAAAGAAAACAATAAAAAGAGAGGGGTTTGTTAACCCATGACAGTGCTTTTACCATTGTTGCACAAATGAAGTAGTGGGAAAGGATAATCCAATTAGGGTTTATCCATCTTTTTCCATCAAAAATAAAAATCAAACAGTATGCAAATGAGAATGATTGGTAATGTTGTATACTTTCGACAAGTTAATGGGTTTTCAAAACAATCGATGTTTTTGACTCTGGGAGTAGATTCTCTCCAATAGTTTTTCGCTACGTGGATCACTAACTTTTATCCAACAAATACAAAAACATCACATCGCTAACTTGTTATGAAAGCATAACATAGAGCAAGGTGCTGCAATTAGGGCTTTGCATACTCCAGACCCCACAATCGTGCACTGGACTGGCCCGCCTTTATCCGCATTTTCTAATTTTATACTTTCAAATTTTATTACATTTTATTATTTTCTTTATGACCTACAAAAGCTTTTTAAATACCAAAAAAAAATAAAATTATCATTGATCAAACTCATCTCATTTCTTGCTTAGTTTTTCTTGACGAGAATTCACACGCTTATTTGTTGAGAGTATATTTGGTGTACCATGTACCAGGGTCATCAAAGTTATTCGTTCTTGTGTTGCGAATGGACAACTCTGATGTATCGTGCACTTGGTGCATCGAATATCTTCTCTTATTTATTTGTATAGGAACTTGAATCATCACCTTTTTACTTTCGAAAATGAAAAAGCTATCATTTGACTAGCATTCCAAATAAATGAATCCTTAATTAAGGCAACAAATTTTGTGCATTTACTTAATGAACTAACATAATCTAAATATTTTTAAAAAAAAAAAAAAATTATATATATTTGTATTTATTATGTGATTGCTTTATTATTTGCAATTAGACTCCCCAACACTCAACTTTTTATTATTTTTTTTTTTCTTTTTTGAGACAGCACATGATAGTTGACCCTAATCAATTGTAAGAATTACATATTTGACTCTTTTGCTTAAGATGCTATCTTATGATTTAAACATTGTTTTTAACTTTTAACATTTTTTTAAACTGCATGAATAGTATGTTCTGTCAAATATGCTTCTTGGTTTAATCATATATGAGCATTGGCTCCATATGATTATCAATCAATTGAGTTTGGTATCTCTTACAATGTTACAATAGACAATCATATAGTTAAGTCTCACTATAAATAACGTCGTCTCTTTTAATTAACAAATTAGTTTGTGAAGACAAATTTTTATTAGATGAATGGATCAATTTTACTTTATGATACAATTTCACTAGTCAGACATACTAATTGCGTTATCTGTCGGACACACCTAATATTTTCATTGGACTCAATTACTTTATTATTACTTGTCATCATTATTAATGTCCTTTTTTTTTCTTTTTTTTTTCAATTATATTAATAACATATCATATTGGATCCAACTGTAACACCACCACATGCTACACCAGCATAATGATTCATAGGTTATCCTTTATGCTCCCAGACGCAAACACAAAACAAAGATACAGCTATGAGCTAACCCTTTAATTCTAATAATAGTAATGATTTTTTTTTTTTTTTTCTCTCTCCCTCTCTCTCTCTATAAAAAAAATAACTTGGTTCTGTTATGAATAAATTAATAATTTATTACTTCGTAACTAAACCATTTTAAGAATAAAATGTTATTAATAAAAAGATAACATGAACATAGGATATATACTTAAGATGAAGAAAAATTAATAGTATTCTCAAATATGCGGTACTTTACTTTTAATCAATAAAGTTATTTTTTTAATAGTTTAATATTTTCGAAGACAAGAATATATGATCAGAACCGAATACTTTATTAACATTTATTCGGAATCTAAACGCTTTACCAACTACGCCATTATATAATTCCGTTATTGTTTTGTGACTTGTTCAATTTCTTAGGCAGATTGGCAAATTGGCGTGGTGGAGCATGTGAAAGAGAGATGGTTTAATGGCAGGACGGACCTGTTTAGCTTTTGTTGGTTTGGGGTTTAATGGAGAGAGAGTGTGTTTGTGGAGGTAGTACAAAGGGTGAGAGGGATGAGGTTGGTAGGGCCATTTTGGTCATTTTGATTGTGAGATATTTTTTGTTACAAAATTTATTTTAAAACAAGGGTAAACGCGGTACTTCACCCATTTTAACACCATTCTGATATAGGGATGTTTTTATAGGTTTTTTGCAAATATAGCATCTACGGTTCTACCTATAATTAAGTAAACTTTAATACTGTCACTGTAATTTATCCTATGACTTATCTCTGAATATTGGGCATTGGGAAGAGGTTGTTTGGGTAAAAAAAAAAAAAAAACATTACATACTTGTTTTCATTTAATTATTCATAATTCCATAGATTTCAATGGCATTCCATTAAAGTTAGACATGCATATATATATATTTTTAGGAAGATATATCTAAACCAATGATTCTATATTTATTCAAATAAATTAATTAATAAAGCAATATTGATGTTGTATTGTAAATTATGTTAGAGAGTACAAATGCAATCTCAAGCAGGTAATAAAGGAAATCAATGAGCATAGCCCATATATATATGATCTCTCTCTCGTGTAAGAGGAGAAGGTTGAGTGTTCCAACCCTATTGGGATCAATATTACTTGTTCAGGCGGCTTTAAGTAAGAATTAATTTAAGTTAATTATTGTTAAATATAAATTGAGTCGTTGAAATCAAATCAATGGATTAATTTAAGCTAATTATTGCCGAATACCCTTTTCTATTAATTTTGATTTTAAAAAAAATAAGAATAAAGTTAATATATATATATATATTTTTTCCTTCCAACCAAACTTGGCTAATTGTAGGGGTAGTAGTATGAAAAAAAAAAAAAAAATATTTGGGGTGGGGGGGGGGGCATTTGTTGTAATTTGGGAAAAGAAGAAGGGCATTATTGGTGTAATGCTTACTTTAAGCTTATAGTTTACACCGAGTTCAGGCTTCCCCTGATAACCGACGGTGCGGACACTTTCGGTCGCCGGTGTAACTTAAGTTATATACAGTAGATATTATTATATGTATGTGCGCGTGTATATATAATTATTATATTCAGATTCTTTTTCTTTTTTTTTTTTTTTGTCACCTTTCAGATTCTTCCTTCGCTTTCTCCTAAATTAATTTAAAGTTTTATTCTAAATTATTATAATATTAAACAGAGAATTCTAAAAGACTCCACTTCCGAATCCCAATTCACTCCCAAATTCCTCCTCTCTGCTTTTGAGGAATTTGGGAACTTATTAGAGAGAGAGAGAGGAGTGACCCTGTTTGGAAAGCGAGAATGTTGTGTAGAATGCTTTCCCGGAAAAGGAAGACCGGAAAGGTTCCGGTCTACCTCAACGTCTACGATATCACTCCCATCAACGGCTACGCCTACTGGCTCGGCCTCGGTGTCTATCACTCTGGTCTACAAGGTTTCAATTTCCACTCCATCTCGTCTCATTTTGTTATTCTACAATCTACACTCTTTATATATCTATATTTCAACAGATTTGGAACAGTATCATTGTTGTTTGGTTCTTGAGAAAATTGAGGAAAAGAAAAGGAAGTTGAAATTTACAAATGTTATTATTCAGCATTTGATTCTTGAGAAAATTGAAGAAAGGAAAAGGAATCCTTATTTTGTAATACACACACACATATATATAATTATATATATTCAAACAACATCTTAGCAATATATTAAGTTGAAAATTATACATGGTTTGTTGGCGAGTAACAAAAATTGAAGATACCCGGAATAAAATTAAAATGCTTACTCTCTCTCTCTCTATATATATTGAAATTTTAGTTAGAGAATTTGATTGTAGAAAAATAGATTTGCTTTGTTTCAATAAATATGTAGATTGTGTAAAAATTCAAAATTTCTGCTACATTATTGATTTTTCAATTGCTTTTCTGTTCCTTGGATCTGAATTAGATTTAAAACCCCACTCCTCTGTTTGGTTATAAAGGAAATAGGGGAAATGAAAAGAAAACTAATACTTTCTGAAGAACTAGCTCAACTAATACTTCCAACTCTATGGACTAGCTCAACTAATACTACCTAGCTCAACTAGCTCTATTTTATTTTATTTTATTTTATTTTTGGGCAACAAAAATAAAAGCCAGGAAGATAGACTTCCTACATTATGAACTAGCTTAACTAATAATACTTCCTACATTATATTTTTGTATTTTGCATTCTTTTGCAGGTGTTTAGCTAGAAAGCATATAATTGTTTGAAAAAGTACAACTGCTCTCTACTTTTGAAGGCCACTTTTGTTCATAATGATCTTGATTCAAGACGTCTGAATCAAGTCTAGTTTATGTTCTATGTAGTGTTCTCTCAAGAACTCTCAACTGAGTGATATTGAATTATTTAAGGAATTTTTTTTTTTTTGAATTCAGATTTCCTCTTCTTTTCTATATTCTCCCAGCATCCAACAGAAAATCTTGCTATAAATCTTATTATCCTGGTGAATTTTTGAACTTAATAGTACATGGTTTTGGTCTCTGTTGCTAAAATTCAGTTCTCATAAATTTGGTTGTCAATTTTTATCATTTAAGTTCACGGAGTTGAATATGCATTTGGTGCTCATGAACATCCAACAACTGGGATTTTTGAAGTGGAACCAAAGCAATGCCCTGGATTCACATTTAGAAAGTCAATCTTGATGGGAAGAACGGATATAAGTCCCAAAGAGGTCCATGTATTAATGGAGAAGCTAGCAGTGGACTACCCGGGGAACGCATACAATCTTATCACCAAGAACTGCAATCACTTCTGCAATGATGCGTGTTTCCGTTTGATCGGGAAACCTATCCCTAGATGGGTCAATCGACTCGCTCGACTTGGTGAGAACTCTGTTAAAAATACTAAATACTTTTACTTCTTTGGATTTGCATTGATGCTCAAAACACTTCCTTTGCATATTTTGGGCTGTGTTCTACTAGAGCCACTTTAGTTGCTTCCAAAGCTTATTGAATTAACAATGACATGCTATACATTACCATGGAAGCAATGTACAGTCGACATCTATGTTACATGGACCTTATAAATGCTTGAAGTACCCGCGTCGAACACCAAACACTTTAAATATGAGTATGGGATACATGTCCAACATGCCTTGCTGGATATGCATTTAGCAAGTATGTCAGATAATTCAAGTTTACTGTATAATTAGACATAAGACTTGTGTTGTGTTTCTGTAACTACATTTTGCTTCAAAACGAAGCACCTATATTGAGTGTTCTATATAATCTAAAATAGCATTTTACTCTAGGAAATAAAAGAAGATTTTTTTTTTTAAAAAATAAGGATAATTAGCTGCGTCTTCATGTTTTTGGATTTGCATATATGATAAATCTACCTCTTGGACATCACCGCACCTGACAATTGCACTCATATCGATATAAAAGTGATGTATGCCAACAGTGATTTTTGTTTCTTATTTATACATTGTATATTATTTAGAAAACTTGCTTCTTGCACATCATTTGTTCAAAAATTTAGTTTTACTTTGGGGATTGAAAATAAAGCCACTATATATTCTAGAGCCATGCACATATTTCACATGATTAGGTTGTTCTGGGACCACCAAATTATTGTGTTCTGAGTTAATTAAATTTTGCAATGTACTAGAAAATATGGAAATTCTCAAAAATAATCAACTTATAACCTATGTTACATGAAATCTTAAAAAATACATGAAATACCCGTGTCAAATACAACACTCGGATATGAATGTGGAATATGTCTGACATGTCTAATAGGATATGTATCGAGGATAATTAATAATTCAATTTATTATAAAAACCCTTTTACACAAGTGAAGTTCTGTCTTGAATTTATGTTACGTAAAAACATTATTAATCTAGAAAAGAAAAGAATACTAAATAATACGAATATTTTGGCAATATTACCTTTGCCATTTGGTTTTGGAATTTAATTTTGATGCTTAGACATTCCCCAACAATTAATACTACCCGAATTCATGTAACATATCTTGTAATCCTTGAAGTAGAATAACTATATAATGGTGAAATTAAAGATAAATTACCTTGATGTTTGCAATTCGGGAGTTTTAGAAAACACAAGTAAAAAAATAAATTTAAATGCGATTTAAAACTACATTTTGCTATATTAATATTGTGTTTTAAAGGGGCATGATTGTTGGAGTTCTACAATTGATTTGTTTGTCTTTGAGATGTGGCTACATGATAGGGGAGGTAGGCCTCCACCTACCAATAATACCCCTTCCCCTTTCCTATCCCTTGTCCCACAGATGGGACTTAAACCCTACACCTTCACTACTAATGTAGCGGAATTAGGTGCAGTGGTTGTGAATTTTTTTTTTAACTCGCACATAGGGCTTGAAAACGCATCAATTTGGAATTTTTTAGTACAAAATCCATTAAATATGGGTTTTAATAATTTTGTTGCTTTTTTTAAAGGTGATTTATATAAGTGATACATGAAATTTAAGTCATTGTTGATGGTAAAGGCTTAATAATTTAGATTTTTTTCTAAATTAATGAGGAATAATGAATTTAACATGAAATAAATAATGATTTTTTGACATAAAACACATAATGTAATAACATAGTCCAAAGTGAAAGGGATTTAAAACAAACCTGAAGCACAGAGGTAAGTGACAGCTGAAATCATCACCAGGAGTGATATGGAGGAATTTGCTGTGTTTGGGAGTTGCTCTCATTCTAGGTCTCCTAACTTGATGCAAATATTTTCCCATGAAGCATGACATCATCCTGTCGTGGTGGATACTGTGGATCATAGTAATATGAGGGCACGCCCATTGCTGTGCCTTCGGGATAAGAGTAGCTTTGCTGCGGATTATGAGGGTGGTAGTGGGAATCTTGTGTGGGATGGCCTGAGGAGGTGCTAGAGTGATTACTGTCATGACTATAGGCATAATGAAACTGCTGAGCCGACATAGGGTAGCCATGTCCATAATGAGACCAGTAACCATACCCGTAATCATATGTAGAAAGTTGTTATGACATGATACTATCATAGAATAGACAGATCGATGCTGAGACACTGGCATGTCAATATACCAATTTAAAAACTTTTTGTTTACTACTAATCTGTAATAATCTGTGTTGCTTTGATAAATTGTGAAGGTTTTCTCTGCAATTGTGTACTTCCGGCGGGTTTAAATGAGACAAAGATCAGGTGTATTAAATCAGAAGATCCAGTTAACGAGAAGAAGAAGCTGAGAAGCCATTCAAGTAGGTTGAAATCTTCCAATCGTCGTCCTTCTTTGTCATCTCATTCTTCAAATTCTGCAAACAGAAGTAGTAGACAACGACCTCCTTCACCCTCTACCATGAAGCTCTAAAGCATTTGTGTTTTAAAATTTCACTGGAAATAGAATCTAACAAAAAGAAAATAAAAGACGGGGTGAAATTGCAGATTTAAATTATTTTCCTCATCATGTTATCTGGTTCTGCTGAGCCTTTTTCAATTGAAGCAGAAACAGCTACTCGGGAAATGTTGCAGTGTTTCTGTTTTTGTAAAGTGCTTTTAATTATCTATTGAATGAACAATCTATGCTTTTTCCTCCAATATCTGCTATTCTATAATTTCTCACAAGATATGTTACAAGGTAAAAGGAGATCTAGGCACATAATTTGCACATAAAATTGGTGTACACTTTCACTTATTCTTGGTTATATTTGTAAATGTATTATAAAACATAAAATGTTTAATTTGGTTGAATGTAGACATGGCATGTTGTGGGCCTTGTTTTGATGCTTTATCAGTATGCAGAGTGATGGTTTGTCTAAATTGGATAGTAGTATGCTAGCTTGATCAATGGTCCCTCTACCCACTATCATTTTGTGTCATGATTAGACCTGTGGGATCAGGATTTCTTGTCTCCATGCACTGGCTCTACAGATAATCAACTTTTAGTAAAAATAAAATAAAATATTTAATAAACTGGTTGTAAGAGATCCCAGTTTGTGTGTGTGTGTGTGTGTGTGTGTGTTTTATTATCAAATTATTGAAAAATTAGATCTCCCAATTCAGGGATGGAAAGTTTATGGTCTATGTTCTCTCTTGTTTAAAGTTTGCCCTTTTAATGTCAAATTAGGGTTTAAGTAAGGCAGTGTATCATTTTGCATCATGTCCTTCATTTCTAGTGGTCTGCGTTCTTCACCTCACTCGTGCATGGTTGCTGTCGACATACCTCGTCTCTGTCATGAGCATCTGCTGAATTTGCAAGTTATTTATCAGAGCCAAGGTCTCGTGTTCAAGTCACCAAGGGTGGTTCCTTGGAGGGGATATTGTTGGCTGGTGTAGCCAATGAATTCAACCTAGTGAGTTCTGCAGACTAACCTCCGACAGGGGACTGAACGCCACGAACACAAGTTTAAGTACAAAGCTCAAGTCCCCTCTAACCCCTATTGGTTTTATGAGAAATGGTGGAAGTTGGGACCAACATAACAAAACATTGCTCCTTTTGTGTTTTTTTTTGTCGATCTTTTCTTCTAGAGATAATTCTACGGCTAGGTGGAGATGAATTGTAGCAGTTTGTGGGAGTGACAAGTACATGAAGTTTCAATTTGTAAGAAAAAAAGTGATAATCTGAGAAAAGAAAGGTTTGAAACGATAAAGACTTGAAAGTTCTCTGTTGACAATTTTGAGGGTGACTCTTTAGAATTGTCTAAATTCAGTCAGTTTATTTGTATTGTGGAAAGTTTAAGGTGATGTTTGTTGGACATGTTGATTTGAATGGTAAGATATTGACATATTTTGACAGTTCAGAAAGAAATTGGAATGAGATTTGAGGGGTTTGAGTTTACATGCATGGTCAAATCTATTGTGTTTCTCGGCCATTTTGTTTGATCAGTATTATGTTCAATATATGTATACTTACAAAGAAATTAACTGCAATACGGTGATAACAATAATATCACCATGTGAGTTAGGTTTTCCTAAATAAATTAAGTTTACACATTATTCGCGCTATCCATTCAACAGTTGATGGTGGAAGTTCATTTTTATTTTCCCTTGGCAAATTAGGTAGAGAGAGACTCGAATATGAGCACATTTTGTTTGATAAGCTGGGCGCTTTACAAATTAGGTTACTGGATAATACTCGATGATAAAAGTTCACGTGAAAGGTGTATGGTGATGAACATTTTTCTCTCATTCACGATGATTTGTACTAATGACCTATTGGTCCACTTTAGCACCTATTTATAGCTTATAAATAGCAACCCTATCTGACAGGCATTGAAGCAACAATTAGCTCAATGTCACGCCCCGTCAATTTGATAAGAAGAGGACTCTATATGACGGTTGCATGGTATATGTAAAAAAATTGAGTTCTAGAGTCTGACACACCTACATAGAGAATTGCAGTGGAACATTGAAGAGTTTGTAAAGATTAGTTGAGTCTAGAGATTTCTAAACGTATATAGAGTTATAGAATTTGTAAATAATATCTAGGATATTTAAGTGGAGAGTTCTAAATGTTACATCTTCACTACTTCCAGATTTTTTACCAGTTCTGAATCCTGGTTTTCCTGTATTCCTGAAGAGGAAGATGGTTGTAACATGGCTGTTTAAATATTGTTAATACTTCAAGGTCTGCATAGTATAAATATTCTAATATTATATAGTGAACAGTAAGTTACTATTCTGTCGTCTTTCTGCTTAAGAGAGATCCTATTACTCGTCTGTCAACGATTTACTGGAAACAATACCCTGTGCAGCAATCTAATGCAAAAACGGGTTAAACATTCCAACGCGACTTTTGGACGACCCATAATTGAATCTGGGATAAGCATAATTTAGACAGAATAGTATTCATATTGTTCATTACATAATGACGAGAATAATCATGCTACCAGAACCAAAAAAGTATTAACAATAATAATTTAAGCCATCATGGCTCTGATACCAATTTCTTTATTGCAAGATGTATAGATGTATATGATAATAATATGCAATAATATGGATCGTAAGATTAGAAACAAGAGTACTTACAGAAAACTTTCTTTATTTATTTTTCCAAGCTAGAGAAATATTACAAAAGAGAGAATAGAAAATTGAAAGATACATTGAAGGGAAACATTGCCTTCTATTTATACATAAAATGGACTTGAAATTAATAATTTGAAGTCCGCATAGTGCATGGGATAGTGTGCTGGAATAATGCAATCGGTCGGCCCACCACTAAGTGCTGTCTCCTTATCTGATGAAAAGTAGTCATCTGATAAAGGAAATACTGTTGAATCAAAGACTTCGGGGAAAAGTTCTTTGGCTTCTTCTGTCGGCAGGATAAGAGGAATCTTTACTTTTTGGGTGGATTCATCTTGTCCTTCAAATGTCCTGTGAGCGAATCCCAATAATCTGCTATTGAAATCTCATCTTCGGAATTAAGATCTTCATTGGGATCTTGAGCATAACCTGCAAGACAAGAAAACTGATTTCCATCTTGACTGGTCTGGCTATAGACTGATACCATGGATGCATCATCTCTTGTTGTAGGGGTAGAGGATTCAAAGGATTTAACAAATTTATTCCTCATAAAATCCATGCATTTAACCATTAAATCTGCTTCGGTAATTAATGGTTGTTGTTTTCTGATCATATCTTTAACAAGTTCAAAAGGGTTAAAGATTTCAGGTTCTGGAATAGTTAACTTTGGAATTTTATCCATATATTCCATTGTTTTCTTTCTGATCTGATGGAGGAGGGCTTGGATAGGTTCCTGAGTCATGCCTGACCACCATCTGTAATAAAAGATCCTCTGGAGGACTGGTAACTTGTCAGTGGTATAACCACATTGGAAATCCCATTTCCAAATCCAAGGGATGCCAAATTCAGTAAAGAATAATAGGGTGGATTTCCCTACAGGAATATTATCCTGCCCTCGTAATTGAGGATGAAATTGTTGCCATGGCAAATATAATTTGCTGATTGATTCAGGCAACATATCCAGATCAGGGCCAAATATAGCCCACCAGGGTATAACCCAGTTTGGGAAATCAGTCTTAACTGATTGAGGACATATCTTGAAGAACCAAGAATGCCTATGCTTCGGATTTTGATAAAAGAACGAATATGTCCAAGCTGAGATATAATCCCAATAATTGTAACTGTGACCATAGGATATTTTCCTTGGCAAATTGGGATTTAATCCCCAGTCACTAGGCCGTATAAGCCTCTTAAAGATAGCTTTACTATAAGTAAGAGGACTATCTTTGGAATTCGGAAATTGCTTCGTGTGGTTGATTTCCACAGAGGAAGTTTCAGTAAGAATGGCTTCATAGATATATCTATGGCGACCATCCGGTGCAGCATATTGTTGAGTTTGGAAATATCTGGATTTTACTTCCCAAGGATCTGGCATCCATTGTTCATCTTGAGAATCCAGTACCAATGCTGTTTGAATATACCTTTGATTAGGTATCCATGGAGTTTCTTGTTCAAGAACCTCTTTCATGGTTGGTTTCTGTTGTTGTTGCTGGGTACTGCTGCTTCCTTTGGAAGGAGTTTTGAGCAGATCAGCAACATGTTCCAGATATGGAAACTGATCATCAGTTAGGGGTATAACCACCTTGGCCTTAGCCTTGTTTTTACCACGAGCCTTTGGAGTATGACCCCGGCCCTGCCCATGGGGGGGCTGATTCATGAACCCTGCAAAAATTCACGAGTTAAAAAATCAGGTAAAGAATTAGAACTGCCTTTAATATATTCAATAGAAAAATCAAAAGCAGATAAATCAGCTTGCCAACCAGCAAATATCTGTTTGGAAACTAAATTTTTTACATCTTTTTCCAGTACTTGTTTAGCAGCACTACAATCAATGCGTAACAAGAATTTCTGATTAATTAAATCATCTTGGAATTTATAAATGCATTTAACCAAAGAAAGAATTTCCTTTTTTATGGTCGAATAATTTAATTGTGCATTTTTCCAAGTTCCTGAAGTGAAGCGAACAAGCTCCTCTGTTCCTGTAGTTGGATTTTTCTGTTTAAGAATACCACCGTATCCAAAATTGGAGGCATCTGTTTCCACAATTTTGAACCATGAAGAATTGGCTAGAGCTAAGCAAGGAATTTGTTTGGCTCTGAGTTTAATCTTCTGGACTGCCTTGGTGTGATCCAAAGTCCATGGGGAAGGAGATTTCCTTAACCTGGTGTACAAAATTGCTGTATCCTGTGCAAGATTTTTGTAGTGACTTCGAATATAATTTAAGCTACCCAAAAATCTTTGAAGTTGAGTTTTATCTTTAATTTCATCTGGAAATTTAGAAGCAAACTCAATACTGCGATCAATAGGTCGAATTTTCCCATCACAAATTTCGTGACCAAGAAATCTGACCTTAGTTAAAAACAGTTTTAGTTTAGGAGCAGAAACTACTAAACCACTTCGGTAAATGACATCTTTGAAAATTTTCAAATGTTTATAATGTTGATCAATTGATTTTGAGTATATAAGAATATCATCAATATAAACAATAGAAAATTCAGTGAAAGGATTAAATATGTCATTCAAAATATGTTGAAATTCTGAAGGAGCATTTTTTAACCCAAATGGCATTACTGTCC